AAAAATTAAATAGTATTATTTATGATCAAGTAAATTACAAAGTATCAACACAATGCTATAATTAAGGAAAATAATATTACAGAATGGACTATTACTTTTTTGTTTCTATGAATCAGACATCACTAGGGTTAGCAAGAAATGTAAAATGATAAATGTAAGAAGCCTATTATGGCTGATTTCGTTTTTGTAAGTAACCTAGGTGAAAAATGAAGTCTTGTATTTTTGTTTAAATGATTTGCAATAAATATTATGTCAATCACTGGGACAGGGAATTTTTCCTCTGTATCTTCATAAGTGCAGTTGCTTCATTCCTATTTTAAATTCTTATGGAGTCATGTTTAATTTCAAACATTTAGCATTTATTTCTATTAAAACTTTCAAAATGGCCTTAGCAAGTAACTGTTAAGATATTATCACATCACTGTCAAGAGATTTCTCAGATCCTACCACACTAGTATAAAGACTATTACATAGTGAATTTATTTCAAGACATTTAGAACCCATCTTCTGAATCAAATAAACTAAACAATGGTGAATCTTAAGCATCTCCAGAATATTAATAGTAAATACTTTCCAACCAACTTTTGAAGCAAAAGAAACATGTAAAGAGAATGCAAGGAAGAATTTAATAAATTTCATGGATTTTTTTCAATCTCACCATCAAGTCAAATGGAATTCCATCATTCTACATTCTTGAAATGTTAAAAACTATTCAAGTTAAAAGCAATGATATTTTCCATGTAAAATCATACAATTATACCAAATTAGTTAAAAACATATCATACAATTAGATAACCTGCAGACCCAAAAGACAAACGCCAATAAATGGATAAATAAGTGACTAACGAAGGGCATGATTTTTTAAAATTGGATGGATATTGTCTTCGGTTTCATGATTTTAAAATCTTAACACTTAGAACATCCTGAGATGATGTCTACCTATTTATTTTAATGACATTATTTTAACACAAAACATACTAAAAAGTGTTACGTGAATAAATAAGCTTTCTTCATAAAAAAAAAAAATTTATTCTCCAAGAAAGATCACAACACAAATGCCAATGAAACCAACGTATACCAATTAAAGTTTTGATACGTGTAGTTTCAATCAGTGGACCCTACCAACAAGCCTCCAAAATATAGATGTCAGAACTGTATGTTCTCTTACCGTCCAAGAAAACACTGCCAAAGAGGACGATTCTGTGTTGCCAAATCAGAATCCTTAGAGCCAAACAATTTAGCTAGAAGTCGAACCACAGCTAATCGCTCTTCTCCATCATTGCTCTAAGGGAAAAGAGAAAACAAATGAAGATGGAGCTTTATTTATCAGATTACAGAAAATGATAATGCAAAACATTCCCAAAAAGATACAATTTCATATTTCTGCTTATAATGGTGAGAACTTTAATATATCACATGTTCTCATTTACTATGCATAAGTTGATTTGGTTCCATGTTAAATCATCTGGTTCTTTGCTCTTATTTCACACCCTCCCAACTGCTAATTGATACCTACTTCACTGATTATTTGCATTCTATGCATTGGTTACAGACCTTTTACAAATGTGAAGATGTATCATTCAACTCTAACACTAAAGAGCCCCAGAAAGTGTCTATAAAGTAGAAAATTGCAAATAATTCTCACCCTAATAAGCTTTCTTTAGAAGAAATCTGTCCTATAATTTAAGCTTCAACATAAACACATATCAATTAAGGTTTTAATATATTAATATAAAGATTTATTTATTTATCCATTTATTTATTTATTTATTTTTGAGACAGAGTCTCACTGGGTTGCCCGGGCTAGAGTGCCGTGTTGTCAGCCTAGCTCACAGCAACTTAAACTCCTGGGCTCAAGCGATCCTCC